TGATAATTCAACTACGCTTGTTGGAGAACAATAAAAACACTACACTCAACAAGCCACCAATAAAACTCAACTGCCTAACCTATAACCAAAGTCTCCTTTTAATTTGTTTTTAAAAAAAAGCGCTTGACAAACTTGCCCCGCATGCCGAAGTTGCCCCAATCTCCCCTATATGTTTTAAAATGGAACCTACTGTTCTTCAAATATTTTGCATTTTTAAAATTCAAAAATATTTGAATTTCAAAATAAATTGAAATAAATGTGTATATTAAAATAAATAAATAAAATAAATAAACAAATAAGGCCTGTTGCAACTTTTGCACAGGGGGATTCTCACTATCGAAATTATTGCTCAGATTACTGGAGTTTGTAAATTGTCTTCCTGTTCGGTAAGGAACAGAATACAAATTTTCAACTGTAGTTAAAACATTAATTATAAAATTTCAATTTCTCCGACATCATGCAGTGCTAGGAAATCGTTTACTCGATCGGGTATTAATGCATTACGTCTAGCTTTATACAGTTATAACTGATGTTAAAAAAATTATTAGGCTTAAATTTAAAAAAAATATGGATTTATAAAGTCCCACTGTTGTCTGTCTGACTATCTATCCGTGTGTCCTTCCATGATTTCAAGATATTTGTAAAGAAAATGATACTAGGTAGCAGATGTGGAAACTGCATAGGCACTAGGTCAAGATTAGCTATATAGGAAACTATAGCTTGCGATGTAAACTGGAAAACACGATATTGTGTTCCAACTCATTCCCTAAAAGCAGTTAATACATGACCAGCACTACTCTGTTGCTACCGAAAAAGTATGATGTATAAAAGAACACACTATAAGAATNAAGTCTGGTGTCACCGATTCGACACTTATATAATTTATTTCTCACGAGATTTATTTTTCGGGGGGCTATTTTCGGGATCTCATAAGCTTTTCCTTTGCATTCAACATCATGGAAAAAACATGGGAAACTTTTCGTGGTCTATGCATTATATTTCTATTTGGATTACATCTCATATAAAAAGCACATCTGTCTAAAATTGTAAAATTATTAGTAGCCGATTAAAAACTACGAATATATCTTCTATTTTTGTACTTTTCTTACTATTTAACAATATAAAATTTTTGCGAAATTAAGAATTTTGTGAATGCTTTCTATGTATTTATTCATTGTAATTTGATTCAAAACAAGCCGAAAGAGAATGCTCTCGATTAATACTACTTGTGTATACTTTATTTTCTGTTATATAGTTGATAAATTTTGAACAATGATTTTTTCAACATGTACCGACTACTTTTATCAGGAATAATATTTGTATTGTAATTTTGAGTATTTTCAATATTGACACACAATCTAAAAATTGGATTATTTAATTTCAAAAATACACGTTTCTTAAAATGTTACTGGAAACACCAGGGCTGTGGAGTCGCGTAAAAATCTACCAACTCCGACTCCGACCAAGGGCGGACTTGTTACCGAAAGAGACCTGGAAATTCTGATGTTATCATGTTACCTCAGAATAAAAGATTCAATAAATAGAGTTCTAATATAGATAGAGCGTAGAAACTTTTTATTCCAAAGCTAAAAACATCTCTAAGTAATATATAAATNGGTAAAAGGTATGCAGATGGGTCAGAGTTGTTCCCGGGCTCATGCTAACTATCAACTTAGCAGTTGGAATGTGGGATTAGTTTCGAAATGAACGGATGTTTATGTCGAACATAAAGAAAAAAATTTTTTTTTCGTTAGGTTTCACTTTAAGGTAATGAAAATTTAGTTGGATTTTAGGCAAAAACGGGACAATTAATCGTCAAATAATCGGTAAAAATTCCGGATTTCACAAAAGCCAGGCAAGGCCTGTGGACCTGACCAGATTCAGGTGGAAGTGCTGAAGCAGCTGGACTACAACAACATCCAGCAACTAACAAAATAGTTCAATCAAATCTACAACAACAATGTTATTCCATCTGACTGGCTCCAATCAATCTTTGTGGCCCTACCAAAAAAGGCTACCACCCGAAAATGCGAAGACTTCAGGCTGATCAGTTTAATGAGCCAGGTGCTAAAAGACTTCCTCAAGGTGATTCAGCAAAGAATAAGATGTAAATGCGAACGTGCACTAGGAAACACACAGTTTGGTTTCTGCAGGGGGCTGGGCACCAGAGAGGCAATTTTCTGCTTACAAATATTGCTACAGAGGTGCTATGAACATCAAAAAGAAGTGTACATATGTTTTATTGACTATGAGAAAGCCTTTGACTCAGTGGACCACGGCCGCCTAATTAATCAACTGAGAAAACTTGGGCTTGAAACTAACGGTATCAAATTTATCACCACTCTCTACTGGAATCAAACAGCCCGGCTCCGCTATGACAACGACCTGACAGACCCAATCCCAATACAAAAAGGCGTCTGGCAGGGCTGCCATTATCTCCCATTCTTTTCAATATTTATTCGGAAATGATTTTTGACCAAACACTGGCCGACAAGGAAATCGGCATAAAAGTTAATGGACACTACATCAATAACCTAAGATATGCCGACGACACAGCATTAATAGCGGATTCCGAACAAGATTTACAGACTATCTTGAATGAAGTAAACACAAAACGTCAAGCATGGGGTTTACGAATCAACAAAAAGAAAACAAAGGTGATTAAGGTCAGCAGGATTCCTAGCGAAATCACAATCAAATTAAATAACGAAAAGTTGGCGCAGGTACACTGCTTCAAGTATCTGGGAGTACTAATTGATGACCAGCTGAATCACGAGGCCGAACTCAAGAGCAGAATCGAACAAGCCAGACAGGCATTTACCAAATGGAAAACACTTCTTACCGACAGAAGCTTGACTTTCATGCTCAAATTACGCACATTGAAATGCTACATCTGGCCACTTCTACTCTATGGTGTAGAAACTTGGACTCTAACAGCAGCCACTACAAAAAAGCTCCTGGCCTTCGAAATGTGGCTCTACCGAAGAATGCTGAAAATTCCGTGGACGGACAAGATAACCAAAGCACAGGTCTTGCAGTACATGCACACGGACCGGGACCTGATCAAAACCATCATCAGCAGGAAATGCAAATACATAGGCCACATTGCTAGGAACTACCAAAAATACCATCTACTGCCACTCATCCTGGAGGGCAGGATTGAAGGCAAGAAACGTCCAGGTAGACCAAAAACGGCCTGGCTAGATAACATCAACACCTGGTTTCACATGACAACAGCACAAGTTCTACACACAGTGCTAGACAAAGAACAATATCAAAATGAAGTCGCAAACGCCATTCGGCAGCATTAAACAAGAAGATATTAGTGTGAAAACCTGAGGGCCCTAGGCCCCATTTAATAATTTTTATTAAATATGCTTAAATATCGACACAAATTATTACTTCGTTTTGTGAAAAAAATATTGTTTTAGACGTGGGAAAAGATAGATAACAGATGCTACTTCCGTTAAGGGAAGTCCATACATCCTCTGTTTTTCCCTTATCCGTTAAAAATCTCGCTTAGATGGGAACTTTCGACCCCTCTTCGATTCCCCTTTCATCCGCTCACATGAACGAAGGTCGAGCCGATGATTGGACGAAAATCTTGAAATATAAGGGAAATCTAGTCCGAATTCGAGGAGTTCTTCGACAGATCCGAAGCATCTAAACTCCACGCAGTTTTCCTCCTGATGGCCAACGCCCTAAACAGAGTCCGGTAGACTAAGTCCCGAGTCTACACTTAGAAGAAGTGATATTTTTATATTTTGTGCACGAATTGATCTCCCATATGAAAATAATATGAACTCTATCTACAAGGTGTCCTCTACCTACAGAAACGAAGACGACGACAACTAACAGGTCGTATGTTTAGAATCATTTTGTGAGCTCTCTCTCTCGATCGTGCATTAGCATAGAAAAGGTCGTAGCCTCTAGCTTGTCGCTAAATGGTTGTAATCGAAATTTTTTGTATTCGTTAGTTTGAGATTTATTAAATTTACTCTTGTTTTATTTTATAAGAATGTTTCCTCAATTTATTCCGAATCAGATCGCAAACGCGTGTTAATCCGCGTATAATAAGATCGATTAACTGGTGTCAAGGAATCCTGACGAACATCTGAGCTTCGCAGTTCAGATCATCTTTGTTTACGCTCTCCTATAAAAGTTAGAGACCTGGTCTTACTGACTAGTGCCCGTAAGTGGCGTAGACTAAGACCTACGTACTGGTAGATCTCACATTAGTTATGTAGCTTATTTTGTTTCAGAAAAATGTTTTGCATTAAAATCACTTGATTTTTGGTTCGAATCAGAAATTCGTATATAGTTAAACAATCAATCATAAATATTGATGTTTTCTGTAATATTTCGAACCATAAAAATTTTTGATACTATATATCTGGTGTTTGAAGCTGCATAACTATTATTGAAAAAAGTAAAAATAACATTACAAAATTCATCTGTGACAACATTTGTTGTGAAATGTTAAAGGAAACATTTATCTGAGTACATTAACAATTAGTTCTACTGTGTTTTACGAGTTTTTTTTTTAGCGTGTTTATACGAATACGGTCGCGATTTTTTCGCCGTTATATGCGAAACGGCATTATATGAAACCGTTTTATAGGGAGTCTACTGTAATTATTTGATGTTTTACATTTGCTTTTGATGAGTACACTCGATTTTCATGAACTGATTTTTGAAAATATTTCACTTAAAGGTTCAATTAAAAGAAGTTATAATTAAATTGCCTGGTAGATTGGATACATATTTAACAGAAGGAGGACGTAATTTCAGCGTAGGAGAAAGACAATTAATATGTCTCGCCAGAACAATTCTTCGTCAGAATAAAATTCTTGTCATGGATGAAGCAACATCTAATATCGATAAAAGGTGGGAATTAACAAAACAATAAGAGCTATCTAATTTTAAGTGTGAATTATTTATTTTTTGTTTTATATTGTCTAGTTTGACTTTGTTTATAAATAAGACTTATTATACTGGCATGGATTTTAATTAGCAAATAGATAAATACTTATTCAAGAAGTAAAACAAAATATCTTTATTTTCACATGTATTCTCTTTTTTAGTGTGTTTCAGACCGGTAGGCTTCTCTTCAGCAAGTGTACAACATTATATAACAGTTATATAAAAACATTTATACGACAATTTTATACAGTCGACCCCCTATAACACTGTTGAATTTTCCGTTTTATACAAATTCCATGTTGTACGAGTCAGTTAGATATTACAAATACGTGTGCCGGGCTGTGAACGGCTCATGTATTTGAAAAATCTAAGTGAATCGTACAACATGGAATTTGTATAAAACGGAAAAATCAACAGTGTTATAGGGGGTCGATTGTATTGATATTTTAAATAAGATTAAAAAAAATGCATACATTTACTTCACTGACCAATATTATCTTTTTGCTGTTACATCTTTTTAAAATACTTTTCTTCCTTTTCACCCTCTGTACTGTTAAATGCTGCTTTAATTGTGTAAAACTGTATTTATCCACTAGCTTGTTGCTTCAGATTGTGCAAAATATATCATTTATTTGCTGAGCATTTTAATCGGATCGTGTAGTTCATGCAGATTTATGTTTGTAGATTGTGCAGGCTTTCTTGTATCAGAATTACATCTGTTATAATTATCTCGAGTAAATAACTTATTACATTTGTGTAGAAGATTGTTCTAGAGGTCATTACAGAATAAGATTCGTTATATTTATCTTTGATCATTTATTCAAGTATTACTGAAATACTGTTACCAGATTTGTACAGTCATCGAAATNCCTATATTTTTTAAAAATTATATCTTTTTTATTATATAATTATATTTGGTTTATAATTGTGTTAAATTTTTTTCCAAAACATAGAGTTACGTGCAAATTAGCATATCGAATGTAGTTAGAAATTAATTGATTTACAGAAATCCAATTGATATTTTGGAATGGGATGAATGGCATTATTTAAATATGTAAACGTAACTGCCGAGTTTCGTAGCAATTGGTCGAACTGACTAGGAGTATATAACGAACAAACACATATTATATATATATGTTACTCTGAAAGACCGAAATTAGAGAATGTCAATATTCTCCGGTGAATGTCGACACATACAAAATACGTCGGTGAAAAACTGAATGTTTGGTTATATTATTATACATTCGAACAATCGTCAGTGTATGTTCACAAGCACAGATAAGCTTTGGTGGGGTTCGAAACGACACCTAAGAAGCCGATGCCGACAGAGAGGCGACAGTCTATTGCCAAATCCTTTGTGGGTAGCAGGAGGTAGGACAAGGTCGTACTTCTTTTCCCCGCAGCAGTTTGGTGAAATCCTCCCACTTTGTCACTGGATGGCGTTTTTGTTTTTTTGATGTACGTGAGGTGGGGATCGGTTTGTCACATATTTTCTTTAATGATTTAGAATGTACTGTTCGTTTTAGGTTAAACAGTTTATTTACATGTGCTGTTACTTAAGCTTTCTCTTATTTTGACATATTAAACAGTTGCATTTTTTCTTAAAATGTAATAAAAATATTTTTATTCAACATTCACCATCAGTGCAGGCTAAATGTCGGCATTTGCCGGTGTAAATGAGAAATAATGATATTTAGGAAATATTTCGTACATACACGAAACGACTGTGTGAATGCTGACATTCGCCAAATATCGGTATATACAGTCTTATACCCTTTACAAACTGTTGTTTATTTCCTTTTGTATGAATTCCATGTTGTACGAGTCACTTAGATTTTACAAATGCCTGGCACAGGCATTTGTAAAATCTAACCTAACTCTCCATATCGTCGGTCTGGTGTCTGTCTGAATATTTTTTATCAATCTCAAAACGGAGTTAGATAGATATACGCTGCGATCATATATGGAAACCTTAGGTGCCGAAAGCCCAAATTAAATAAATAAGAACTTTTGGTTCAAAATACAAATCATGTTATTTCAATTCAAAAATTATTTCCTGCAAGTTGTAAAATAAATTATTGCTACGACTCTATTGTTATTGAAAAGTATGGTGTATAGGAGCAAGCCATTGCTAAATTGAGACGAAACGTATATATTGATATTTAAAGTTAAATTTATTTATTTATTTATTTAACCAAACGACTCNGGGGTCATGATTTCGTTCACCCTGTTTAAAGCCTAATAATTTCTGTGGTCAGAGTGGTCAGAATCGGAGTCAGATGGTTTAACACAGGAGTTAGTTAATTAGAGTCGAAGTGGTTGAACTAAATCGTGTCCCCATATACATTCTAACATCTTAGGCGAGATCATCTTATTGGGTTTTACTGTACTATTATAAAATGGCTAAAACACTTACTTTGAGGGTAGACACGAGTTTTATTTTTTTTTTTAATTTTGAACGCTAATTACAAGTAAAATATTCATTAAGAGATATGACACATGACCACTATTATGTCTTCACCCTGTTGACCTTTCATTATATACCAAAATTTAATAGTTTTAATGCCCCTTTATACGCAAACTACAGTGCCACATTTCGTTTTTTAAACTTAACCCATTCTGAGATATTGTTTAATATCTCAGAACAGAAAATGAAGAAATTAAACAAATTAGACGCCGACACACACGCGCGCGAATTTTTTTCCTTTTATTGACTTTTTTGAGGGGTTCGGGAGGTCTCCAAACGTGTAGATTTGCAAAAAAAAAAAAAAAAACTTGTATGGTCAAATTTGACACGATTGCAATACTTTTCCGTTTTATATACATAACAAGTTGGTAAGTAAAACGGAGTCGGAGTCGATGGATTTTTTGACGAATACGACTTTGCAACCGGCAAAAACACCAAAACTCCACGACTCTGACTCCGACTCCACAGCCCTGGAAAACACTGAAATTTGCTACTGATTGTATATAATACTCTTACTTGGCAAAAAATTAGGTATCATTATCTTTTAAGACTAATTAGAGAATTTCTACATGAATCTAAAAATATGTTAAATTTTCCACGAAAACGCAAATCCAGATGGCAAATAGCAAGGTAAAAACCTATTTCTTCAGGGTGATCCTTAACTTTCTTTGTTCCCCCACAGAAAAAATTTCCAGAATCTTCTTTTTGTGTTCATTCTCACGGCCTACCCTAATGAAACACAATAAAAAACGCAAAAATCCGCATCTAAAACATTAGAGGCCGAGATCTTCATGGTAATTTTAACACATCTCTCTTTCCTGTGGGGAGGAATTTTTAAAATATCAGTTTACATCTCACATTTATGTGAGCGCTGCCAAGTTGTACGAAGTTTGTTGTTTAATTAATATCTTGTACTTGATGTCAGTATTATTTTTATTTGCACTTCTTTAAGTCCGTGTTCTCTGTGGCTTTTAGGAAAGTGTATTCATGATGAATTATTGTTTATTTTTGTAAAGCTCAATTAACGCAGCAGTTTCGTTCCTACAAAAGCCGGCGCAAATCGAATCGGCGTAAAACGAACCCGTATTTACAGTGAGGTATAGGGTTAGGCTCTACATAAGTGAAAAATAAGCTAATAATTTTGTTTATTAATACAATATNTAATCATTTACACAGTTGTCTAAATGTTCATTCATTGCATCAAAGGCTTTTTTATAAAATTTGAAGTCGTTAATATTGATATAATATTTGTTAGGCTGATAGTTTCCTTTCGTTTTTGTCAACGAAATATATGTGTTAGAATGGAATTCTACTACCCCTATGAATTGATTTTCACATATTTTGATGTTAAACTGTCTAATTTTTGAAGATTTACCTTTATCTAGAGTTAGATCTAACTCAAACTTTTGGTCTAACGCAACCTTTTGCTTTTTCAACTCCAGATCTTCTATATTTTTAGGTTTTGCTCCTCTTTTTTTACCAACAGTTTGTTTCACGTTAAAATCTAGAGTTAGATCTAACTCAAACTTTTGGTCTAAGGCAACCTTTTGCTTTTTCAACTCCAGATCTTCTATATTTTTAGGTTTTGCTCCTTTTTTTTTACCAACAGTTTGTTTCACGTTAAAATCATAATCACATTCTAAAATTAATATTATATTTATTGAAATATTTTAAGTAAAAATATTAAAAAATAAAATAAAATACTTACCATCTGAAGACATTTTTCTTAGATGTATGAGAGGTTCTTGCAAAAGAAGTTCTCAGTGATGTATTGAGCCAGTCTCTTATATGCAGTATTTATACTATTGCTGGACACGAAAATAACACATAACACGGATGCGAATTAATATTTTTAGACAGTTTCTTGAAAAACAGGATCTCCATTAATAATTTTAGAATAACACGATGTCTATTAATATTCTTGAACTATACTTTGAATAACAGGAAGTTTAAATATGAATTGAAAATTGACATAACACGATGTTTAAAAATGAATTAAAAACATGTCGTGTCTATTAATATTTTCAAAAACAGTATATTTTAAAAACATACCATGTCTATTAATATTTTAAGAATGTACTTCGATAACAGGACATCTAAAAATGAACACAACACCACTGTTGAATTTAAGTATAAAAGAAGACGTAATTTTTGTTAGAATCAACAAGTTTCAACAATCATTCAC